ATCCCTGGTATACATTGTACTTTTAACAATGCTTATGATCAATATCAATAAAATAAAATAAAAGTTATAATATGTAACTTGATATTTGTTAACTTCGCTCGATTTTACTGTGTCCAACATTTGATATTAAATCTTGTGTGATATATGAGAGGGATAGCACACAAGATTGTATCAATGTCAATGAAAGCAATTATTTCTTAAGTTTTCAACCATATTTCTTGAAACTTCATTTCTAAATTTCATACATCAATTGTTCAAGACAGTTTTAAGGTCAATTTCATTCAGTCAAGGTGAAGGCTACAGCTTCACAACCTGTTCATGTACATGTGACAGAGAAATTGTCAGTGCATTCCTAACTAAGTATTCAAACCAAATTTTATAAACCTTGATCCATCATTCTCAACATTAAATCATGCACTACCTGTTTGCATATACACAAGCAACCTCAACTTTCAATAAGTCCTGTTGTCAACATTTGTTGCACAATGCTATCAGTTCTGAAACCAACAATCATGACAACTGTAATAACATAGTATGTGTTCTAGCTGGTACATTTGCAGTACTCTTTTGAAATGTATTTGAAATTAATATGTGCATCTTATTTCAAATGCTAGCCTATGAAGATGATAAAGCTGAACATATGCTATAAAGTTGTTGTTTTCTTTGTGAAGAATTTATGCAATGGAAATAGAGGGAAAATAATGTAACTCTCCTAATCTTGTGTGTGTGTGTGAGTATGTATGTTTATATTTTGTTTATCTTATTCAATATTGAAACATACAACAATGTATCATATTGAATTAGAGTGCTTTTTATATTATTTGTTCATGGGAACACAGATTCAAAATAGTTCCATTTTTCATAAGAAGAGACCTTTTCACTGCAGTGAATATGTAAAACACTTTATTTAAAAGTTTTTCAAAATTATTGAGAGACTTGTAAATTTATGGGTAGCAGTAATCCACTTGCTTATCCACAATTTAGTTTCGGCAAGTAAACATCCTTATAAATATTGTTCTGTAACAATATACACTGACTGATGCAAAATTGAAACTTGAACAAAATTCACACGTATTAAAAAGCATGCCAACCCTGGTCGATGTGCACACTTTACAAGATAACTTGCTTGAATATATATTGATCAATATACAAACTTAGACGATAAGTTCAAAGTTGAGTGAAATCCATGCCTAATTAATTAGCATACTGTACTCTGATTGGTCAATGGTTTTATGCCAAGTAACTTTGTTAGATAAGGCAAGGGTTGATATCTTATTCAACAACAAAGGCAAAGTTCAAAGATGTTCACAATCTGTGCATAATCTATTCAATGGTTTAAAATAATCAGGTATTGGTCAAAGGGGTAAATGCCAGTTTCAGTTTTTAATGTTCTATGAAATACATTGTATGGACAAAGGGAAGCAATTCCAAATTCCTATGCAAATTAATTATCCAAAGGTTTAAAATGATATATTCTAGAGGAAACTTGGTACCACTCTTCTGACAAACCTATAAAGATATACTGTACACACAAGAAGAATAACTTCACAGTGGTACACTTTTACATAAAACTTTGATTCATAACAAATTAACAGTAAATCCTTCTGTACAATATGATGGGAACTTCGTCTTTATTTTGTTCTCCATTCCAAAAATAATATATATATCTTTTGCCTTAGCTTTCAGTACTTTCAGTACTTTGATCTTGTATTTGGACCTGCTTTCTAATTTGACCCTTGTCCTGAATAATGTTTGTCTTTTAACAAGAAAAAATGAATTCCAAAAATATTTCCTGTTAGTTACTCAAAAGATTGTAATATACCTCAAATATCATTTGCACAACCTAGGTAAGCAGAAAACTACAGGTACAACTCAAGTTCATTAATGTGAAAAATAGGTCAGATCAGATAATTCAAAGAAAAACAGGAATTGTCTACAGACAACAGGCTAACATCAACCCATCGTAGGTCATATCTATGACTGCAACAAATCTTGCATAATAAATGAGGTTGGAACTTAATTAGGCCAACACATTGTCTTACCTGTGTTACCTGGCCAGGAATTATTTACCTGTATAGGAACATATTGTGTCGTGGATAATTAATGAGGCTGGTTGCATTCTGTGAGCTTGGAATTGTAGCCACCACATACTGCCTATATCAGGAGAACTGCTTCACCGACTCATACTGTGGTGAGATGTGAAATTAATTGAATAAGGCAGGTTAAAGGACCTTTATAACATACTGTACCTGGTAGTAGTATCACCTTCATTTTAAGGTATGTAGATTTATTGAAATTTACATCATTTAAATGTTAAACTCACTTATGATTTACACCAACACCTTATGCATCACGCTACATCATTACATGGCCATGTAGTCTTCTACATGGTTTCTTATCATGTTGAACTAACAAATTGAAAGATGAACCACAGACAAAACCTGCTGATGTTTTCAGAAAGGGAGGAAGCAAAATCACTTTGAATGGATTGATGGTCTGTATAGTCACGTTGTTTTTGTATAGAAATGGATTTTACATTTATTGAAAGATATGAAGTTATCGACAATCAATCTGTATAGACAAGTTGTGATCATAGAGAAATAGTTTTGTGTTCATACAACATGTATTTATAGACAGTTGATCTGTAAGACAGGTTAGAAATAGTTTTGTGTTCATACAACATGTATTTATAGACAGGTGATCTGTAAGACAGGTTGTTATTGTATAGAACTAGATTTGTGTTCATACATCGTGTATTTATAGACAGGTGATCTGTAAGACAGGTTAGAAATAGTTTTGTGTTCATACAACATGTATTCATATAGACAGGTGATCTGTAAGACAGGTTGTTATTGTATAGAACTAGATTTGTGTTCATGCATCATGTATTTATAGACAGTTGATCTGTCAGACAAGTTGTTATTGTATAGAACTAGATTTGTGTTCATACATCGTGTATTTATAGAGAGGTGATCTGTAAGACAGGTTAGAACTAGATTTGTGTTCATGCATCGTGTATTTATAGACAGGGGATCTGTAAGACAGGTTAGAAATAGTTTTGTGTTCATATAACATGTATTCATATTGACAGGTGATCTGTAAGACAGGATGTTATTGTATAGAACTAGATTTGTATTCATACATCGTGTATTTATAGAGAGGTGATCTGTAAGACAGGTTGTTAGTGTATAGAACTAGATTTGTGTTCATAGATCATGTATTTATAGACAGGTGATCTGTAAGACAGGCTGTTATTGTATAGAACTAGATTTGTATTCATACATCGTGTATTTATAGAGAGGTGATCTGTAAGACAGGTTAGTAATAGTTTTGTGTTCATACAACATGTATTCATATAGACAGTTGATCTGTAAGACAGGTTGTTATTGTATAGAACTAGATTTGTATTCATACATCGTGTATTTATAGACAGGTGATCTGTAAGACAGGTTAGAAATAGTTTTGTGTTCATACAACATTTATTCATCAGGTACGTCAGGTTTTCCTGCCAGTTTCACCTTTTTTATGTGTTGTATGGGCTGAATTTGCCTGGTATCATGGTCCAAACCTGCCCCAAATTGATATTTCAATAAATTGGTTTATTAAAGCAATACCAAAGTTAATGCTAGGCTTGGCTGTAATGTTTATGATCATGTGAAGCTGTCAGTGTCTTACAATGTACACGTGCAAGTATGACATGAATAAGTAGCAATTTGGTTTACAGAAAGTTCTCAACACTAGAAAAAAATTAGGTCATCACGGATTTTCTTTCTATCCTCCCAAAAGTAACTTTCTCCCTTTGAGTTAGTTTAAGTTTTCCTGAACCTTTTTACATGTGAATGTCCTGCCCAGCCAACTAAATTGCTAAGTTCCTCAAAGTTGTAAATATTTGCTTGAGACCGAAATTATCAGGGGTGGCTGGACTTACCCTGGGGTCAAACTTGTCACTGTCTCCACTACATGTATATGTAGAAATTTGATGAATGGTATTTATGAACTATATACATTTTGCATCAAAGACACCATTTTCTTTCAGTCAAAACTAAAGTAAAGATCTGTGTATAACTTATATGGTGGGGCACAGTGGATAGTGTACTCGTCTGTCTTCACCAAAATTGCTGGGATTCCATCCTTTAACTGTAAAAACATGGTTTTTTTTCTGCATACCCAGTTTCTACCCCCACTCAGAGTTTAACCCTTTATACCTTCCACCAGGCACAAATAGAATGATTAATATCAGTTGGGAAGAAACCTGTTTGATAATTGTTGTAAAATAAATAATATTATACATATTATATTTTTGATGATATATCGATGTAGATGTATAAAGATATAAATTTAAACAAAATGGAAAAAGAGAACATTGTAATTCTTTAATGTAACTGAGATGTTGGTTACATCTTTATATAGTCTAAGTACCTGTTCCATCCTAAAACATAAGGTCAAATTTTGTTACAGTCACCGAGATTTGACAGGTAAATGTGCAATAGGAAATTATGCATTTTCTGTCTGTAGCTATAGTTATAAATTCGCATGCTATGGGAAAAATAATCTGTTGCTGAAAAATGGAATTCAAACTTGTGCTGGTGGTCTGGAAAAATCCTTGATGATTTTGACATAAATGCAACTGATGTCGCTATCTAGAAATTATAAAATTAATGCACAGCATCAAAACGAGAGATGTATAACTAAGGAAAGTGACTCTAACCCAGAAGGCAATTCTAACCCAGAAAAGGTTTTTGTTGTATTGTTATTTTTATAAAAAGTCGAAAACAAAATTGAAAGGGAACTCTTCTTGTGCAATGGTTACACATATTTATCACATGTATATAGTGAAAAACACACTCTTCCATATGTAATGAAATGTGGTAGTATGCGGTAGCATGTGGTATCATAGTTTTAAATCACCAACGGTAATATTACATACACATATATGACCTCGGATGTATTCACAGAATAACATGGTAATCATGCCATCAATGTATCTTTCAAGTCCAGACAATAGTGATATCATACTTTTTTCATATAATTGAAAAACATTATTTAATCACTGCTTCTGTTAATGTTGTGGTCAATATCTGTTCTGTACTAACATTTAAATGTGTCTTCTTAATGGATAAAACAACCCTGTAACTCAGCATATTATTTGATATATTATAGTTTGAGCCTCTGTAGTACATATTTATATTTCAGCATACAGACAAGTTTAACACAAAAAATATACTGTGTTATTTAGGTTAAACAGAATGTAAATAAATCATTGTAACTGATGTCCTAACAGGACACACAGTTTCTAGGTTATGGTGTTCCACCAGGTAACATCTGTCAGTGATGTGTTCAAGTCTTTAATTTGTTTAAAGAACTTTAAAGCTCTCGGGATTATAGATATGCTGCTTTGATGATTGTAAGTTTGGAGTTTGTCAGCTGGTCTGACTAATCAACAACATGTATTATTGGGTTAGAAATCAATATTATCCCTGATGGCAGGGATCAATAATACACACAAATGTTTATTGGAATGGAAGTCCCATAGAAAAACAGCAGAACTCAAATGATGTTGTTCTGAAAAAAAACTTGTGGATAAAGATAGCAGGTAAGTTCTATTTGTGGATAATGATGAAAAGTCAGGTATTTTGGTTGATAAAGATAGTAAGTCAGTTATACCCTTGGTGGATAAGGATGGATGTCAGGTATATTGGTGGATAAGGATGGATGTCAGGTATATTGGTGGATTAATGATAGATGTCAGGTATAGTGGTGGATAAGGATAGATGTCAGGTATATTGGTGGATAAGGATGGATGTCAGGTATATTGGTGGATAATGATAGATTGTCAGGTATATTGATGGATAAGGAATTGGATGTCAGGTATGTTGGTGGATAATGATAGAATGTCAGGTATATTGGTGGATAACGACAGATGTGAGGTATATTGGTGGATAAGGATGGATGTCAGGTATATTGGTGGATAACGATAGAAAGTCAGGTATATTTGTTGGTTATGATAGAATGTCAAGTATATTGGTGGATAATGATAGAATGTCAGGTATATTGGTGGATAATGACAGATGTGAGGTATATTGTTGGATAAGGATGGATGTCAGGTATATTGGTGGATAATGATAGATGTCAGGTATATTGGTGGAAAATGATAGAATATAAGGTATATTGGTGGATAGGGATAGATGTCAGATATATTGGTGGATAATGATAGAATGTCAGGCATATTGGTTGATAATGATAGGTCAGGTATATTGTGGATAATGATTGAATGTCTAGTGTATTGCTGAATAATGATAGAATGTCTGGTATATTGGTGGATAATGATAGAATGTCAGGTATATTGGTAGATAAGGTTAGAGGTCAGGCATATGGTGGATAAGGATGGATGTCAGGTATATTGGTGGATAATGATAGAGGTCAGGTATATTGGTGGATAATGATAGAAAGTCAGGTATATTGGTGGATAATGATAGAATGTCAGTTATATTGGTGGATAAGGATGGATGTCAGGTATATTGGTGGATAATGATAGAATGTCAGGTATATTGGTGGATAAGGATGGATGTCGGGTATATTGGTGGATAATGATAAAATGTTAGGTATATTGGTAGATATATATTATAAGGATAGATGTCAGGTATATTGGTGGATAATGATAGAAAGTCCGGTATATTGGTGGATAATGATAGAATGTCAGGTATATTGGTAGATAAGGATAGATATCAGATATACTGGTGGATAAGGATGGATGTCAGGTATATTGGTGGATAATGATAGAAAGTCAGGTATATTTGTGGGTTATGATAGAAAGTCAGGTATATTGGTGGATAATGATAGAAAGTCATGTATATTTGTGGGTAATGATAGAAAGTCAGGTATATTGGTGGATAATGATAGAATATAAGGTATAATTTTGGGTAATGTTAGAATGTCAGGTGTATTGGTGGAAAATGATAGTATATCAGGTATATTTTTGGGTAATGATAGAACGTCAGGTATATTGGTGGATAAGGATGGATGTCAGATATATTTTTGGGTAATGATAGAAAGTCAGGTATATTGGTGGATAAGGATGGATGTCGGGTATATTTGTTGGTATTGATAGAATGTCAGGTATATTGGTGGATAAGGATGGATGTCGGGTATATTTGTTGGTATTGATAGAATGTCAGGTATATTGGAGGATAAGGATGGATGTCAGGTATATTTGTGGGTAATTATAGAAAGTCAGGTATATATATAGTTGGTAGATAGGATGGTTGTCAGGTATATTATAGGATCAGGATGAATGTCAGGTATATATATATTGGTGGGTAATGATAGAAAGTCAGGTATATTATTGGGTAAGGATGGATGTCAGGTATATTTTTGGGTAATGATAGAAACCCAGGTATATTTGTGGATAAGGATGGATGTCAGGTATATTTGTCGGTAATGATAGAAAGTCAGGTATATATATAGTTGGTAGATAGGATGGTTGTCAGGTATATTATAGGATCAGGATGAATGTCAGGTATATATATATATTGGTGGGTTTGGTAGATAAGGATAGATATCAGATATACTGGTGGATAAGGATGGATGTCAGGTATATTGGTGGATAATGATGGATGTCAGGTATATTGGTGGATAAGGATGGATGTCAGGTATATTTGTCGGTAATGATAGAAAGTCAGGTATATATATAGTTGGTAGATAGGATGGTTGTCAGGTATATTATAGGATCAGGATGAATGTCAGGTATATATATATATTGGTGGGTAATGATAGAAAGTCAGGTATATTATTGGATAAGGATGGATGTCAGGTATATTTTTGGGTAATGATAGAAACCCAGGTATATTTGTGGATAAGGATGGATGTCAGGTATATTTGTCGGTAATGATAGAAAGTCAGGTATATATATAGTTGGTAGATAGGATGGTTGTCAGGTATATTATAGGATCAGGATGAATGTCAGGTATATATATATATTGGTGGGTTTGGTAGATAAGGATAGATATCAGATATACTGGTGGATAAGGATGGATGTCAGGTATATTGGTGGATAATGATGGATGTCAGGTATATTGGTGGATAAGGATGGATGTCAGGTATTTATATTGGAGGATAAGGATGGATGTCAGGTATATTTGTGGGTAATGATAGAAAGTCCGGTATATTGGTGGATAATGATAGAATATAAGGTATTATTTTGGGTAATGTTAGAATGTCAGGGGTATTGGTGGAAAATGATAGTATATCAGGTATATTTTTGGGTAATGATAGAACGTCAGGGATATTGGTGGATAAGGATGGATGTCAGATATATTTTTGGGTAATGATAGAAAACCAGGTATATTGGTGGATAAGGATGGATGTCAGATATATTTGTGGGTAATGATAGAATGTCAGGTATATTTGTGGGTTATGATAGAAAGTCAGGTATATTGGTGGATAATGATAGAAAGTCATGTATATTTGTGGGTAATGATAGAAAGTCCGGTATATTGGTGGATAATGATAGAATATAAGGTATTATTTTGGGTAATGTTAGAATGTCAGGTGTATTGGTGGAAAATGATAGTATATCAGGTATATTTTTGGGTAATGATAGAACATCAGGTATATTGGTGGATAAGGATGGATGTCAGATATATTTTTGGGTAATGATAGAAAGTCAGGTATATTGGTGGATAAGGATGGATGTCCGGTATATTTGTTGGTATTGATAGAATGTCAGGTATATTGGTGGATAAGGATATATTGGTGGATAATGATAGAAGGTCAGGTATATTGGTGGATAATGATAGAATGTCAGGCATATTGGTGGATAATGAGTAATGATAGAAAGTCAGGTATATTGGTGGATAAGGATGGATGTCCGGTATATTGGTGGATAAGGATGGATGTCAGGCATATTGGTGGATAATGATAGAATGTCAGGCATATTGGTGGATAATGAGTAATGATAGAAAGTCAGGTATATTGGTGGATAATGATAGAAAGTCAGGTATATTTGTGGGTTATGATAGAAAGTCAGGTATATTGGTGGATAATGATAGAAAGTCAGGTATATTTGTGGGTTATGATAGAAAGTCAGGTATATTGGTGGATGATGATAGAAAGTCAGGTATATTTGTGGGTAATGATAGAAAGTCAGGTATATATATAGTTGGTAGATAGGATGGTTGTCAGGTATATTATGGGATCAGGATGAATGTCAGGTATATATATATATTGGTGGGTAATGTTAGAAAGTCAGGTATATTATTGGATAAGGATGGATGTCAGGTATAATGATAGAATGTCAGGCATATTGGTGGATAATGAGTAATGATAGAAAGTCAGGTATATTGGTGGATAATGATAGAAAGTCAGGTATATTTGTGGGTTATGATAGAAAGTCAGGTATATTGGCGAATAATGATAGAATGTCAGGTATATTGGTGAATGAGGATGGATGTCGGGTATATTGTGGATAACGATAGAATGTCAGGGAAATTGGACAATAAAGATGGATGTCAGATATACAATGTATTGGTGGATAAGGATGGATGTCAGGTATATTGGGGGATAAGGATGGATGTCAGGTATATTGGTGGATAAGGATGGATGTCGGGTATATTGTGGATAACGATAGAATGTCAGGGAAATTGGACAATAAAGATGGATGTCAGATATACAATGTATTGGTGGATAAGGATGGATGTCAGGTATATTGGTTGATAATGATAGAATGTCAGGTATATTGGTGAATAAGGATGGATGTAAGGTATATTGTGGATAATGATAGACAGTCATATATATTGGTGGATAAGGATGGATGTCAGGTATATTGGTTGATAATGATAGGTGGTCAGGTATATTGGTGGATAATGATAGAATGTCAGGTATATTGGTTGATAATGATAGAATGTCAGGTATATTGGTGAATAAGGATGGATGTCGGGTATATTGTGGATAACGATAGAATGTCAGGTAAATTGGACAATAAAGATGGATGTCAGATATACAATGTATTGGTGGATAAGGATGGATGTCAGGTATATTGGTGGATAATGATAGAAAGTCAGGTATATTTGTGGGTTATGATAGAAAGTCAGGTATATTGGCGAATAATGATAGAATGTCAGGTATATTGGTGAATAAGGATGGATGTCACGTATATTGGTGGATAATGATTGAATGTCAGGTATACTGGTGGATAAGGATGGATGTCAGGTATATTGGTGGATAATGATAGAATGCCAGGTATATTGTTAGATAAGGATAGATGTCAGGTTTTTTGGTGGATAAGGATGGATGTCAGGTATATTGGTGAATAATGATAGAATGTCAGGTATATTGGTGGATAAGGATAGATGTCAGATATACAATGTATTGGTGGATAAGGATGGATGTCAGGTATATTGGTGGATAATGATAGAAAGTCAGGTATATTTGTGGGTTATGATAGAAAGTCAGGTATATTGGTGGATGATGATAGAAAGTCAGGTATATTTGTGGGTAATGATAGAAGATAAGGTTTATTTGTGGGTAATGATAGAAAGTCAGGTATATTGGTTGATAATCATAGAATATCAGGTATATTTTTGGGTAATGATAGATATATTATAGAAAGTCAGGTATATTGGTGGATAAGGATGGATGTCAGGTATATTGGTGGATAACGATAGAAAGTCAGGTATATTTGTTGGTTATGATAGAATGTCAAGTATATTGGTGGATAATGATAGAATGTCAGGTATATTGGTGGATAAGGATGGATGTCAGGTATATTGGTGGATAATGATAGAATGTCTGGTATATTTGTGGATACGGATGGATGTCGGGTATATTGGTGGATAATGATAGAATGTCAGGCATATTGGTGGATAATGATAGATGTCAGGCATATTGGTGGATAAGGATGAATATCAGGTATATTGAAGGATAATAATAGAAAGTCAGTTATATTTTTGGTTAATGATAGAATGTCAGGTATATTGGTGGATAAGGATGGATGTCAGGTATATTTGGTGGTAATGATAGAAAGTCAGGTATATAGTTGGTAGATATGATGGTTGTCAGGTATACTATTGGATAAGGATGAATGTCAGGTATGTTCTTGGTGGATAATAATAGAAAGTCAGGTATATTATTGGGTAATGATAGAAAGTCGGGTATATTTGTGGATAATGATAGAATATCAGGTATATTTTTGGGTAATGATAGAAAGGCAGGTATATAGTTGGTAGATATGATGGTCGTCAGGTATACTATTGTGTATACTAAGTGTCCTCTGGAATGACTGTAGCTCTCTCTTACTGGATAAGGATGGATGTCAGGTATATTTTTGGGTAATGATAGAAAGTCAGGTATATAGTTGGTAGATATGATGGTTGTCAGGTATACTATTGTGTATACTAAGTGTCCTCTGGAATGACTGTAGCTCTCTCATACTTCTGAAGTAAGTGTCCTCTGTAGTGACTCTAGCTCTCTCTTACTTCTGTAGTAAGTTTCCCCTGTAGTGACTGTAGCTCACTCTTACTTCTGAAGTAAGTATCCTCTGTAGTGAATGTATCTCTCTCTTACTTCTGAAGTAAGTGTCCTCTGGAGTGACTGTAGCTCTCTCTTACTTCTGTAGTAAGTTTTCTCTGTAGTGACTGTAGCTCTCTCTTACTTCTGAAGTAAGTGTCCTCTGTAGTGACTGTAGCTCTCTCTTACTTCTGAAGTAAGTGTACTCTGTAGTGACTGTAGCTCTATATTACTTCTGAAGTAAGTGTACTCTGTAGTGACTGTAGCTCATTCTTTCTTCTGTAGTAAATTTCTTCTGTAGTGACTGTAGCTCACTCCTACTTCTGAAGTAAGTGTACTCTGTAGTGACTGTAGCTCATTCTTACTTCTGTAGTAAATTTCTTCTGTAGTGACTGTAGCTCACTCCTACTTCTGAAGTAAGTGTCCTCTGTAGTGACTGTAGCTCATTCTTACTTCTGAAGTAAAATTCCTCTGTAGTGACTGTAGCTCTATATTACTTCTGAAGTAAGTGTCCTCTGTGGTGACTGTAGCTCTCTCTTACCTCTGAAGTAAATGTCCTCTGTAGTGACTGTATCTCTCTCTCACGTCTGAAATAAGTGTCCTATGTGGTGACTGTAGCTCTCTTACTTCTGAAGTAAGTTTCCTCTGTAGTGACTGTAGCTCTCTCTTACTTCTGAAGTAAGTGTCCTCTGTAGTGACTGTATCTCACTCTCACTTCTGAATTAAGTGTCCTCTGTGGTGACTGTAGCTCTCTTACTTCTGAAGTAAGTTTCCTCTGTAGTGACTGTAGCTCTCTCTTACTTCTGTAGTAAGTTTCCTCTGTAGTGACTGTAGCTCACTCTTACTTCTGAAGTAAGTATCCTCTGTAGTGACTGTAGCTCTCTTACTTCTGAAGTAAGTGGCCTCTGTAGTGACTGTAGCTCTCTCATACTTCTGAAGTAAGTTTCCTCTGTAGTGACTGTTGCTCTCTCTTACTTCTGAAGTAAGTGTCCTCTGTAGTGAATGTATCTCTCTCTTACTTCTGAAGTAAGTGTCCTCTGTGGGTGACTGTAGCTCTCTCTTACTTCTGAAGTTAATGTCCTCTGTAGTGACTGTAGCTCACTCTTACTTCTGAAGTAAGTATCCTCTGTAGTGACTGTAGCACTCTCTTACTTCTGTAGTAAGTTTCCTCTGTAGTGACTGTAGCTCACTCTTACTTCTGAAGTAAGTATCCTCTGTAGTGACTGTAGCACTCTCTTACTTCTGAAGTAAGTATCCTCAGTAGTGAATGTATCTCTCTCTTTCTTCTGAAGTAAGTATCCTCTGTAGTGAAAGTATCTCTCTCTTACTTCTGAAGTAAGTGGCCTCTGTAGTGACTGTATCTCACTCTCACTTCTGAAGTAAGTTTCCTCTGTAGTGACTGTTGCTCTCTCTTACTTCTGAAGTAAGTGTCCTCTGTGGGTGACTGTAGCTCACTCTTACTTCTGAAGTAAGTATCCTCTGTAGTGACTGTAGCACTCTCTTACTTCTGTAGTAAGTGTCCTCTGTAGTGACTCTAGCTCTCTCTTACTTCTGAAGTAAGTGTCCTCTGTGGGTGACTGTAGCTCACTCTTACTTCTGAAGTAAGTGTACTCTGTAGTGACTGTAGCTCTCTCTTACTTCTGAAGTAAGTTTCCTCTGTAGTGACTGTAGCTCTCTCTTACTTCTGAAGTAAGTGTCCTCTGTAGTGACTGTATCTCACTCTCACTTCTGAAGTAAATGTCCTCTGTAGTGACTGTTGCTCTCTCTTACTTCTGAAGTAAATGTCCTCTGTAGTGACTGTTGCTCTCTCTTACTTCTGAAGTAAGTGTCCTCTGTGGGTGACTGTAGCTCACTCTTACTTCTGAAGTAAGTTTCCTCTGTAGTGACTGTAGCTCTCTCTTACTTCTGAAGTAAGTGTCCTCTGTAGTGACTGTATCTCACTCTCACTTCTGAAGTAAATGTCCTCTGTAGTGACTTTTGCTCTCTCTTACTTCTGAAGTAAATGTCCTCTGTAGTGACTGTAGCTCTCTCTTACTTCTGAAGTAAGTGTCCTCTGTAGTGACTGTAGCTCTCTCTTACTTCTGAAGTAAATGTCCTCTGTAGTGACTGTAGCTCTCTCTTACTTCTGAAGTAAGTGTCCTCTGTAGTGACTGTAGCTCTCTCTTACTTCTGAAGTAAGTGTCCTCTGTAGTGACTGTAGCTCTCTCTTACTTCTGAAGTAAGTGTCCTCTGTAGTGACTGTAGCTCTCTCTTACTTCTGAAGTAAGTGTCCTCTGTAGTGACTGTAGCTCTCTCTTACTTCTGAAGTAAGTGTCCTCTGTAGTGACTGTAGCTCTCTCTTACTTCTGAAGTAAGTGTCCTCTGTAGTGACTGTAGCTCTCTCTTACTTCTGAAGTAAATGTCCTCTGTAGTGACTGTAGCTCTCTCTTACTTCTGAAGTAAGTGTCCTCTGTAGTGACTGTAGCTCTCTCTTACTTCTGAAGTAAGTGTCCTCTGTAGTGACTGTAGCTCTCTCTTACTTCTGAAGTAAGTGTCCTCTGTAGTGACTGTAGCTCTCTCTTACTTCTGAAGTAAGTGTCCTCTGTAGTGACTGTAGCTCTCTCTTACTTCTGAAGTAAGTGTCCTCTGTAGTGACTGTAGCTCTCTCTTACTTCTGAAGTAAGTGTCCTCTGTAGTGACTGTAGCTCTCTCTTACTTCTGAAGTAAGTGTCCTCTGTAGTGACTGTAGCTCTCTCTTACTTCTGAAGTAAGTGTCCTCTGTAGTGACTGTAGCTCTCTCTTACTTCTGAAGTAAGTGTCCTCTGTAGTGACTGTAGCTCTCTCTTACTTCTGAAGTAAGTGTCCTCTGTAGTGACTGTAGCTCTCTCTTACTTCTGAAGTAAGTGTCCTCTGTAGTGACTGTAGCTCTCTCTTACTTCTGAAGTAAGTGTCCTCTGTAGTGACTGTAGCTCTCTCTTACTTCTGAAGTAAGTGTCCTCTGTAGTGACTGTAGCTCTCTCTTACTTCTGAAGTAAGTGTCCTCTGTAGTGACTGTAGCTCTCTCTTACTTCTGAAGTAAGTGTCCTCTGTAGTGACTGTAGCTCTCTCTTACTTCTGAAGTAAGTGTCCTCTGTAGTGACTGTAGCTCTCTCTTACTTCTGAAGTAAGTGTCCTCTGTAGTGACTGTAGCTCTCTCTTACTTCTGAAGTAAGTGTCCTCTGTAGTGACTGTAGCTCTCTCTTACTTCTGAAGTAAGTGTCCTCTGTAGTGACTGTAGCTCTCTCTTACTTCTGAAGTAAGTGTCCTCTGTAGTGACTGTAGCTCTCTCTTACTTCTGAAGTAAGTGTCCTCTGTAGTGACTGTAGCTCTCTCTTACTTCTGAAGTAAGTGTCCTCTGTAGTGACTGTAGCTCTCTCTTACTTCTGAAGTAAGTGTCCTCTGTAGTGACTGTAGCTCTCTCTTACTTCTGAAGTAAGTGTCCTCTGTAGTGACTGTAGCTCTCTCTTACTTCTGAAGTAAGTGTCCTCTGTAGTGACTGTAGCTCTCTCTTACTTCTGAAGTAAGTGTCCTCTGTAGTGACTGTAGCTCTCTCTTACTTCTGAAGTAAGTGTCCTCTGTAGTGACTGTAGCTCTCTCTTACTTCTGAAGTAAGTGTCCTCTGTAGTGACTGTAGCTCTCTCTTACTTCTGAAGTAAGTGTCCTCTGTAGTGACTGTAGCTCTCTCTTACTTCTGAAGTAAGTGTCCTCTGTAGTGACTGTAGCTCTCTCTTACTTCTGAAGTAAGTGTCCTCTGTAGTGACTGTAGCTCTCTCTTACTTCTGAAGTAAGTGTCCTCTGTAGTGACTGTAGCTCTCTCTTACTTCTGAAGTAAGTGTCCTCTGTAGTGACTGTAGCTCTCTCTTACTTCTGAAGTAAGTGTCCTCTGTAGTGACTGTAGCTCTCTCTTACTTCTGAAGTAAGTGTCCTCTGTAGTGACTGTAGCTCTCTCTTACTTCTGAAGTAAGTGTCCTCTGTAGTGACTGTAGCTCTCTCTTACTTCTGAAGTAAGTGTCCTCTGTAGTGACTGTAGCTCTCTCTTACTTCTGAAGTAAGTGTCCTCTGTAGTGACTGTAGCTCTCTCTTACTTCTGAAGTAAGTGTCCTCTGTAGTGACTGTAGCTCTCTCTTACTTCTGAAGTAAGTGTCCTCTGTAGTGACTGTAGCTCTCTCTTACTTCTGAAGTAAGTGTCCTCTGTAGTGACTGTAGCTCTCTCTTACTTCTGAAGTAAGTGTCCTCTGTAGTGACTGTAGCTCTCTCTTACTTCTGAAGTAAGTGTCCTCTGTAGTGACTGTAGCTCTCTCTTACTTCTGAAGTAAGTGTCCTCTGTAGTGACTGTAGCTCTCTCTTACTTCTGAAGTAAGTGTCCTCTGTAGTGACTGTAGCTCTCTCTTACTTCTGAAGTAAGTGTCCTCTGTAGTGACTGTAGCTCTCTCTTACTTCTGAAGTAAGTGTCCTCTGTAGTGACTGTAGCTCTCTCTTACTTCTGAAGTAAGTGTCCTCTGTAGTGACTGTAGCTCTCTCTTACTTCTGAAGTAAGTGTCCTCTGTAGTGACTGTAGCTCTCTCTTACTTCTGAAGTAAGTGTCCTCTGTAGTGACTGTAGCTCTCTCTTACTTCTGAAGTAAGTGTCCTCTGTAGTGACTGTAGCTCTCTCTTACTTCTGAAGTAAGTGTCCTCTGTAGTGACTGTAGCTCTCTCTTACTTCTGAAGTAAGTGTCCTCTGTAGTGACTGTAGCTCTCTCTTACTTCTGAAGTAAGTGTCCTCTGTAGTGACTGTAGCTCTCTCTTACTTCTGAAGTAAGTGTCCTCTGTAGTGACTGTAGCTCTCTCTTACTTCTGAAGTAAGTGTCCTCTGTAGTGACTGTAGCTCTCTCTTACTTCTGAAGTAAGTGTCCTCTGTAGTGACTGTAGCTCTCTCTTACTTCTGAAGTAAGTGTCCTCTGTAGTGACTGTAGCTCTCTCTTACTTCTGAAGTAAGTGTCCTCTGTAGTGACTGTAGCTCTCTCTTACTTCTGAAGTAAGTGTCCTCTGTAGTGACTGTAGCTCTCTCTTACTTCTGAAGTAAGTGTCCTCTGTAGTGACTGTAGCTCTCTCTTACTTCTGAAGTAAGTGTCCTCTGTAGTGACTGTAGCTCTCTCTTACTTCTGAAGTAAGTGTCCTCTGTGGTGACTGTAGCTCTCTCTTATTCCGAAGTAAGTGTCCTCTGTGGTGACTGTAGCACTCTCTTACTTCTGAAGTAAGTGTCCTCTGTGGTGACTGTAGCTTTCTCTTACTTCTGAATTAAGTGTCCTCTGTAGTGACTGTAGCTCACTCTCACTTCTGAAGTAAGTGTACTCTGAAGAGACTGTAGCTCACTCTCACTTCTGAAGTAAGTGTCCTCTGTAGTGACTGTAGCTTTCTCTTACTTTTGAATTAAGTGTCCTCTGTGGTGACTGTAGCTCTCTCTTACTTCTGAAGTAAGTGTCCTCTGTAGTGACTGTAGCTCAATCTTACTTCTGAAGTAAGTGTCCTCTGTAGTGACTGTAGCTTTCTCTTACTTTTGAATTAAGTGTCCTCTGTGGTGACTGTAGCTCTCTCTTACTTCTGAAGTAAGTTTCCTCTGATAACTATCCTCAAATGAGCTCTACATAATTCACATACTGGCAGGAGATAAGAATAACAATCTCAGGAATTGATCCTGTTTCAAAATAAAATAGATTTTTATTTTTTTTTGATATTAAAAATAAATATGCATTCAACCCTATACAATTTAATGAGTCTAAACATGAACATTCCCTCAATTTTAGCTTTTTTGCATGCTATCAACAAGAAGGCAATTTCAACGAAAGCTCACTTATTGAAGTGGGAGGACTGAATTTTTACAATACCTGTCTATGTATCTATATAGTTATAATTTATTTTATATAGATTATTTGATTTTTCACAGATCCAAATCGAGAGTGAGGAAGGAAATGATGATCCTGGTTATCTTACGACCTCCACTGCAGTAGATATTGCCAACAAAATGTACAGCACTGACTCTGATCTGTCAGACTGGGAGACACGCCAGTTTGGTAGACACAAGATAACTTCTCCACCCCTTATCCACAAAAACCAACCCTCCGACAATGAAGATAATGTGCCTCCTGAATCACCGGGGAAACGATCATATGAGAAGACATTTGATACTGTCTCTTTTGAGGCAGCTGCAGAAAATGTCCAGCTCAGTCCAAGCAAAAAAAAGCACAAGGAGCAGGTTTGGACTGTGGGGAAGGAGAACCAGGAAAGAATGCCTAAAAACTGGAACAATTCTGTGTCATCCAGAGATAGTGCTCTGGGAAGTTCACTTTTTTCAGCATTTGGATCAGTGTTAACAGACAGTTCAACATCATTTGACAGCCAGAGCAACTCTGACGACACAACTTCCAGCGTCAACAGCTCTCCTGTACACAGTGTCTATGGCAGATACCAGAAAATTTACACCAATGACAAAGGAAAGAATACCAGTGATAAAGCCTTGATGGAGTATGAAAATCTGTTATTACATAGACTTCCTGGAGAAAATCTGGGAATGATTCTTGGAATTGAAGGAGGAAAATTTAATGAATCAATATCAGGTGTGTTTGTAAAAACTGTGACAATTGGTGGTGCTGCCTATCGAGCCACTGGAAGTTCAAAGGGCATTGCTGTGGGTGACGAAATTCTGGAAGTGAACGGTATGAACTTGAAGCAAATGAACCGTGATGAATGTATGACAGTTCTCAAAGAGATGCCCCTACGTGTAAATTTGATGCTGAGGCGGGGAAGTAAATTTTCTGGCCCAACCTCATCTGAAGGGGTATCTCACTTCAGACAAAAGATGAAGGAGGTCAGTTCTAGGGAGATGAAGGTGTGTAAGAATCAGCGCTTAATACAGAACTATGCGATGACCACGACAACATCTGAGAGTGAAGATGATATACTGGAAGGATTTGCCCTCCATCATGTAGAGGTTGACAAGAATCCAGATGAGAGCCTTGGCATCAGTATTGTTCCCAGCTATGGTTCTACAAGAGAATTTTACCAGGTAAGTCAGTTTTGTACACCTGTACAGTTCTACTGAGAAATTCAATCGAGAAAGTCAGTATTGTATGCCTGTACAGTCCTACTGGAAAGTTCTACCAGGTAATTCAATATTGTACACCTGTACAGTCCTACTAGAAAGTCCAACCAGGTAAGTCAATATTGTACACCTGTACAGTCCTACTAGAAAGTCGTACCAGGTAAGTCAATATTGTACACCTGTACACTCCTACTAGAAAGTCCTACCAGGTAAGTCAATAGTTTACACCTGTACAGTCCTACTAGAAAGTCCTACCAGGTAAGTCAATAGTGTACCCCTGTACAGTCCTACTAGAAAGTCCTACCAGGCAAGTCAATAGTGTATACCTGTACAGTCCTACTAAAATGTCCTACCAGGTAAGTCAATATTGTACACCTGTACAGTCCTACTAGAAAGTCCTACCAGGTAAGTCAATAGTGCAATAGTGTAAACCTGTACAGTCGTACTAGAAAGTCCTACCAGATAAGTCAATATTGTACACCTGTACAGTCCTACTAGAAAGTCCTACCAGGCAAGTCAATGGTGTACACCTGTACAGTCCTACTAAAATGTCCTACCAGGGAAGTCAATATTGGACACCTGTACAGTCCTACTAGAAAGTCTTACCAGGCAAGTCAATAGTGTATACCTGTACAGTCCTACTAAAATGTCCTACCAGGTAAGTCAATATTGTACACCTGTACAGTCCTACTAGAAAGTCCTAACTCAGTATATTGAGTGAACATCATTATGTGATTATGTCTGTGTTTGTGTTCACAGGTGAAATGTTCGATAAAGCACTTCATATTTGCTTATCATTTTATGTTAGAGGACCACCCATGTTCTTGATTGGTTCTATTTTTAGGTCACCTGAGCTTTAGCTCAAGTGACCTATTGCTATCCGTTTTCGTCCGTCGTCGTCCGTCGTCCGTCGTCCGTCGTCCGTCGTCCGT